CCACTAAGTTGCGTACATAAAAAAGAACCAGACTTAATTTACCAAGACACCGACAAACGAAGATGTTGATACGAGCACCTGTCACAACCTTATTTATAAATTATTCAGAAATCGAGAGATGCGGTCTGGTGTGATGTAGTTTCAGAAAAACATTTTCTTTATCGTGCCAACGTTTTGATCTTTATTGAGATCATCTTCAGGGCCTGGGATTTAAAAATATTGTTTACATTTAACAAATAAATTTAGGATGTGGCAAAGTGAATTTATACAATGCAAAATATGTTTTTTATATTCAATCAAAGTATTTCTACTCACTCAAAATGTTTGCCTTCTGATATTTCGGTCAATCGAACCACGAACTCTAATGGCTTTAAAAAAACATGGACCTTTTATTCAATTTTCGGCAGATTAATTAAACTAATATGTATACAATGAATACCTTATTTAATATGTGAAATTATTTGAAAATTAATCCTCTTATTTTTGATTTTTTAATGCACCCTACATTAATTTTTGGAAATTCGAATATTTGAACTCTTGAAAATAGTTTGCTTAGCGAAGAAGAATATTGTAAAATTATCATATTTGGAGGATCGTTTTTTGGTGAATACGTGTGCGGATGAATTCATCTATTCTTACATCTTTGTATTTCTAATAGAACTCTCAAAGCGTGCAAAAACGTTTAGATTGAAAATTACGAAAATGTTTTACGGTTCGACAAATATGAAACGGCTTTCCGATCAATTCGAGATAATATGTTGTGCTCGTTTTCCCTTTGAATTTTTCAGCATTTTATACCTTTCACAAGACAAACGAAAACAATCCTTTTTTTTTCAAACCACATTTGATATTTTTTCAAACTTTAAGGAGCCGTGCGATGAACCACAAAATATCATACCCAGACGACAATTCCAAGGTTTATCATTAACCGCTCCCATCATGCATAATTTTTCGAGTGAAAAATAAGAGAGAATAAAGTAAAATATTTTGCAAACAATTTTTTCTAACAAAACTTTCTAAAGTTTTCTGTGGAGTTCCTCGATAGTATTTAGATTTTTCTTTGGTTTACATCGTATGAAGTATTGGAAACCTATATAAAAATATATTATATTGTGTTAAACATTTTAAATTAATAATTAAGCTAATTATAATCCATTTATGTTTTAGTGGTCAACTGACCAAGTTAATTCTTTCAATTAATTATTCTTTTTATATAAGGTTTTGGTTGAGATAAATTATATTATAAGCGATTATATTGTAAGATAATTTTCGTTACGTTTTAATTAATTAAGGTTGTTATTTGAGATAAAAAGTCAGTGTCACCAGCGGGATTCGAACCCACGATCTTTGGCTAGATACGCCGATGGTCTACCACTTGAGCTATCATGATCTCGATCCACTCGGACACTAACTTCCCATCTCAATCCCACCTTTTGAATTTTCCCTCCTTTTTGCCATTTTTGAAATGTCGTGTAATCTATTTGATTCTCGGCGACAAATAAAATGTCCACGGAGAGCTTTAGTGAAGGTATACTTCATGTTAACTTATTAAATTCATTAGTTTTCGTGGTCCGCTTGACCAATTAATATCTTTCAATTAATTAAGGTTTTTAGTTGAGATAAAAAAGTCAGTGTCACGAGCGGGATTCGAACCTCACCGTGGCCATTTCATTTGTCGCCGAGAACTAAATAGATTTCACGACATTTGAAAAATGGCAAAATGGTGGGAATATTCAAAAGGTGGAGTTGAGATGGGAAGTTAGTGTCCGAGTGGATCGAGGTCACGATTGCTCAAGTGGTAGAGCAGCGGCGTATCTAGCCGGAGATCGTGGGTTCGAATCCCGCTCGTGACACTGACTTTTTAATCTCAACTAAAAACCTTAATTAATTGAAAGATATTAATTGGTCACGCAGGACCACGAAAACTAGTGAATTACGGTTTAATTTATATTTATTATTGAATGATCACTATGATTTTGTTTACTCGTCAATCGAAACCTCAAAATTCTGTTCTATTTACATTAAATAATAATAAGTAAATAAGTAAATAAATTTAAATTTAAAAATTTAAATAAGAAATAATAAGGTCCATTTAAATAAATATATCTATTTATAAATATCATTAAATATGTTTGGTTTTTCGGTCATTGACACATTGTTAAACAGTAAAACAAAACGTTCGGAGCGAATCAGTATTTTTCATATTAAAGCAATCCTCTTTCTTTCCTTTAAGGACTCTCCTCAGTTATAGAAGAAATGAGATCAGCCAGGGTGGAAACGAATAAAGTTATTTGCAAGACGTGTCCTGCTTTCAGGTAGCCTTACCACCAGGTGGAATGAGTCTTAGATAACGAGGAATTCACAGAACTGACCTCTGTATATGACTTCAAGGCCCAATCTTATTTCTACCTTTTCCCCGACCTTCGCTGACTAGGAAGTTTTTATTGTTCGTGTAAGTGGGGGGGGGGAATAGAAAAAGTCACCATCCAGTTTCTTGTTTGTCGAACAAAAATATGAAAAGGTCATTACAATAATAATTAATAGAAATATGTTGGAATTGACAATACGTAATTTTATGTTACGTGAGTATTGACTTTCAAATTACTTCTGGCTCCCTCCTCATCACCCACCCCTTCTGAAGTTAAGCACTACTTAAAGAAATCTCCAAGTATAAAATCTTCTAGACACGTCCTAATACTTCGAACCTCCACTATATTTTGAAACCAATCCTAAAACTTGATAAATTTTTTTATTTTCTTATCCAATGCCAGCTGTTGTTGTTAACGAAATGTCAAAATCCCGTACTAAAGAGAGGAACACGCTTACCCGATGCTACGCCATGCGACGCTACCCGACGCCTTGCCACGTTTTGGTGGGGTGTGCACTTCTATCCGACGCAAGCACACGTCGCGTACTGTCCACAGCGTTTATCACAATAATCACTATCACAACCTTGTACAGCCATGTAATAAATTGTTAGTTAAATTTCATTAGCACAACCATCTAATAAATTGTTTGTTAAACTTAATTGTTTTAAATAAAGTTACTCCTAACCATCATAATTAAACACTGTTTATAAAAACCTTTGCATTTTTGATCTCGTTTAATTTGGTTTACATTAAAATAACATGTAATTAATATAACGACAAAATTACATGTACTTAGTTTGAAATAAACTACAAAAAATATGAGTGTCCTGTTATGATGCTACCCGACATTACAAAATGGTGTAATTTTACGAGCAAAACTATGAAATAAATTGTTAATTAAATTTTATGAGCAAAACCGTGTAATAAATTGTTCCAATTTTAGTATACGTACCGCCGAAGCGAGTACAATAAATTGTTAGTAAAATTCATTATATCAAAAAATCATATTCCGCTGTTTTGATTAATTTTCTACCAAACCATTAAAATTAATTTTTTAAATAAAAACTAATTAATTTTTAATCACAGTTAATTTGGTTTATATGAAAATAAGTATGTTGTCATTAATATAACGACTGTAGTTTGAATAAAAATATGAGTGTCCGGTTCTTTTGTCTTCGACTGTACTCGATGCGACGCGACGAAAATCTGGACAGTGGGGATCGCAGAGCGTCGGGTAGGTTAGCGTGACATAGCATCGGGTAGATGTGCACGGGGGTAATGCAACCTTATGGAAAATCGGAGTTTGGATTTGCGTCGGGTAGCATCGGGTAGGTTAGCGTGGCATAGCATCGAGAAGAAGTGCACGGGGGTAATGCAACCTTATGGAAAATCGGAGTTTGGATTTGCGTCGGGTAGCATCGGGTAACGTCGCATGGCGTAGCATCGGGTAAGTATGTTTCTGGCTTAAGGCTATACGACCTGACGGTATCCCGAACAAATTTTTAAAAATTGCCTCCCTGTCATACTACCGGCCCTACTACATGTTGTAGATATGTAATAGGGCCGGTAGTATGACAGGGAGGCAATTTTTAATACTCCATACTATAATACTATATATATACTACTCCAGAGTATACTACTCCATCCAAAACTCTGTTTTTAATTTAACAGGAATGCCTCCTGGAAGAAAGCCCACATGGACCCCATAAACCAAACTTCCCCTAACGATTGCCGACCCATATCTATCCTATCTAACCTGTCCATACTCCTTGAAAATCTAATTCAATGTCAAATAATGTTGCTGTAAAGATTAATGCGTGCATTGCATATTTTTATTATTATTATATATTACGAAATCTAACCAAGTGGATTTTTACGGTATGTTATCCTTATTTGACCAATTAGAAGAAAGCAATTCAGCAACAAAGCAATTCTTACACAACGTTCGCTTTGCCAACGCGATCCAAAAATTGCACAAAAATACGAAACAAAATTTTGACTTTATCCTAATATAAAATCGTTTTTGGTCCATACACAATTTTTGAAAAGGGGGTGCTTTGCTTGGATGTAAAATATGAAAAATCAGTTTGTTTTATGGAATAATTTTTATTTAAACGATCTGTAATGATAGTAAAAATATATTTTCCTTTATTGCTGTCTTATTGTACAAAATATTTTCCTTAGTGTGTAACCAAAACTAAATTTAAAGAGATAATGGAATGGAAGGAAGATATAATACACAAAAGAAAACATGATTTATTTCAATAAATGTGGAATTACAATTTTTTTTAATTTATAAAAATCTAAATTTAAGGATAATATAGAAGAAAAGAACAACAATATTTTATACAATTAACATTAAATACCTTTTGTCAATAGAACATTTATCATTTGAAAAAAAAAATTAAATGCATTTGATTTTGATATTCTTTGGACATAACATTGAAAACTATTTTTGTTTGTTCATGATATACAAATGCATTATTTACAATTAATATATTTTTAGTGACAGAAAGGCGGGTTCAATTTTGCACAGTTTTTCTGTTATTTTTTGTAAATAAATAATAACTATATTAGAATTTTTAATTTATTAAATACAAGCAGAAAACGCGTATAAAAATATGGTTTTTTTTTGTATTAAACTAGCTCAAGATACAAAATATTTTTATAAAGGATTTAATTTATTTACAATTCATGGTTTTATTCAAATACTTTAACATTCTCACACATCCTTCACACATACATAAAGATTGAAAACTTACGTTCAGCCCCTGTATTTTGTTATATTAGCAAGTTTGTTCTCAACGAACGACGAGCATTTTCAATGCTAATAAAAAATTTTAGCCACTGTGTGGTGTATATGTAATTTTAGAAACACTGTTTTTTATTCTAATATTATTTATAAAAAACATACTCCAGATATACTGTATTTCTGTTCATGTTTATAAACAGTTTTTCGTTTTTGGGTTTCACGATATGTTTCACAGGGTTGTCGACTAGAGAACGACCCAATTTTGACAGCAATTTTTGTCCAGGCCTGAACACCCAGGTTCAAGGGTGATGTGGCCGAGGACAGTGGCCGAATCTCAGGAAGCCAAGACCTGCAGTTCCGGATCCTTGGTGATTTCGTCGATTGTCGCTATCGAGACTTTTTTCTCAGGCTCTGCGTATATTTTCTGCTGTTCGGCTTTTCTCTTTTCTTCGTTTGTGTAATAAAAGGCGGCGTGATGCCTGTTGTAAAGCAGGCCGGTGACGACTGCAGCCATCGTTATTACCAAAAGAGCGACGGCAGCCCCCGCGGCGATCAGCCCCAGCTGTGTGTTGTGGGTAAGGGCCAATCCGGCGAATCCTTCATCTCTGTAGCCAAGTCCACTCCCACACCAGCTGAGAGAATTCATCGTGAGACTATCCAGCGTCCTTCCTTTGAGATTGTAAGGCAAGGAACAAACTGCTTTTTTAATCCATTGGCTTTCGTTGATCCTGCTGAGCATGGCCGTGATGTGGCAAAGATCGCAAGCCCAAGGGTTCTCGTCCAAATAAACAACTACACTCTCCAATTTCACTATTAACCTTTCGTCCAGGCCGTGAAATTTATTTCTCGATATGTCAAGAGAAATAAGATTTGAAACTGGGGAAAATAAATGAACGGGCAAGTGCGTCAGTTCATTTCCAGACATATTCACAAATTTTAATTCTTCCAGGGGTGCGAAAAGGCCTAGTGGCAAATCGTGTATTGTGAAGCCTAAATCAGCGATGTACAAGTCTTGCACATGTCGTATCACCTGAAGAACATACTTAAATTCGGAAATATCGATATTATTGCCGCTGACTGCAATTTTAACAAGGTTGTCGGCAAGAGGAACGAAAGTAGTCGGTTCCAGTTTATCGAGCTTGTTGTAGCTCAAGTCGAGTTCTCGCAGTGATGTAAGATTGTCAAAAGCGTGCGTCGTCACTTTGGCAATTCTGTTCCTAGCCAGGTTCAGAGTTTCCAGTTTCCCCTGGGATGCGAACGTCGGCTCGAGTACGACCGGAAAATGATTGCCGTCCATTAGGAGTGTCCTGAGCTTTTTCAGGTCACGGAATATATAAGGGTCTAAGTATTTGAACTCGTTGTCTCCAATGTCAAGATCTTCGAGTGATGAAAGTATGCTGTAGATCTGAGGGTTGATGGTACGAAGAGCACATCCTCGGCAATGTAGCACAACTAGATCCTGAAACAGATTGATTATTTTAATTAGAAACGTATTTTTTAATTTAAAACAAAAAATTGCATGTATTCTGGGTTCGAATTGCGAATGAACAAAAACCCTTATAAATTACAGCCACCGACGTCCACAATAACCTTGCTCTACAATACAACTTCAATATGAAAAGCGTTTAAAACAGAACACGAAAGTATGCTGTAAGAACAAAATTCCATAGCCGGAAAGTGGGCTACAAGTAAATACAAATTTGTGCAACCTGGTTGGTCTCCAGTGAAAGTGACAAGTTAGATCATAATGCCTCTGTTTCTGCAATTTTTGTCACCCACATTTTTTTACTAAGGATCATTTTTAAATTTCCAAGTTAAAAATATCATTTTTGTTCGATGTTTTGCAAATTATTTCAAATGCCCAACGTTAGCTGTTTGACCCCCCTGGTCTGGTTAAATGTCTCTTACTCTTTCCCCTAACCTTTCACTTATTCTCTACCTTTCTACCTTATTTTAGTTATCTACGACTTCTCTGTCACAGATTTTAACACAACATAACGTTCCTTTTTTTATGCCTCTCTAATCACTCCCCTTTTTTCTCTCTATCTTTATTCTCTCTTTCTCTCTCTCTCTCTCTCTCTCTCTTAATCGCTTACTCTCTCGCTTTCCCTTTTCTTCTTTTAATCTCTTTATCTCTTGCTTTCTCTGCATCTTTTGCTCTTTTACGTACCATTTCAATGGTTGTGTTAGGTAAATTGTTCTATGACGTGGAACGTATGCCGTTCGATTCTTCGGAAACAGCTCAGTGGCAATACCGTTTTACCCTGAAAACCTTAACTAATTTTCACAGATAAATAAAGTTTTTCTCTTTATTAGCCTTTAATCTTAGCTTTGTTCTGACATCCAAACCATTGTGGCCAGTGACGCCTCTTAAATCTGAAATATATCGTGATTGGAGAAAGCTAAAAAAAGTCTTTAAAAACTATTTAGACGGGTACTTGAAGATTGTACGAAAAAGTAAAACCATTCCCACACCAACTATTTAAACTCTTTCTTTGTTTCTCTCAGTAGGCGTAAATACAAGACAGTCTTTTAAAAGATGTTAGGCAATTACACCTCCATGTTTTCTAAGCGTTTAGACAAAATTAAAATTTTATACAAATTCGGCCTCGAGCTTGTTTCGTCGAAGAGCCGAATGCCGAATGCAAAAGGTAATTAAAGGTGTAAACGATTGCTGGAGGAGCAATAAGGGATCCCCTGACCTTCCTGCAGACTGCTCGCTCAGAGGAGGCAAGAAAAACGAAAACTTCTCGCCCGGTTTTAAAGTTAAGCAAGTTTCTAGAAGCCGTTGGCGAGGCCGCTTTGGAAAAAACCCGAAGAAAACCAGATGAGAAAAGTTAGACAACGAAGGGTCTCGGTTACGACGAAGAAAGAGAAAAAAGCCGAGAGGGGGCCTTAGCAACGCAATTAAGGCAATTGGAAAGAAAGACAACAAATAATTAAGAAGTAAGCCGAAGGAGGAAAGGGTGAAGTTTACAAAACTGAAATTGTACGACCAATAAATTTATTGTCTCATAAAATCAAATTAAAATCCCCAAACCCTATAAATTGTCTAATAAATTTAACTGTAAATTTAACTTTAAACGTTTTCAAGATAAACCAGGTATAAAAAGAAAACGAATTGCTGTTATAATTATTTCCACCATTTAAAAACGATTGACTTCCACCATTTCAATAATTAGCAGTTTATAGATTTAACTTCATTAAACTGAAAGAATAAATCGATTAGGTCTCGTGGTCCCATTGAACAAATAAATTCCCTTCAATTAATTTTATCTTTAAGTAAGGTATTGGTTGAGTTAAAAAAGTCAGTGTCAAGAGCGGGATTCGAACCCACGACCTTGTCCGAGTGGATCGAAGTCACGATAGCTGAAGTGGTAAAGCAGAGGCGCATTTAGACCGATGGTCGTGGGTTCGAATCCCGCTCGTGGCACTGACTTTGTAATCTCAACTAATACCTTATTTAAAGATTAATTAATTGAAAATAAAGAATAAACTTCAACTGCTCCCCCTCCACGGTTTCGGTTAACCTCATCTTCAGTGGGGAAAGATTAGTTGTAAGTAAAATAAATTTTTTTAAAATTATTTCTCAGCATTTGCTTATTATAATGAATACAAATAAAATTATATAACTTAATCCGGCCACCGCACTTTGGCTTCAGTATATCATTTCAGCCTCCAATGAATTCAGTTTTTAAGCTACGAGCACTCGCACATTCTTAAATGCATTACACACCTCAATTATGATGGCGAACTTTAAAAATATATTTATTTTTTAATAATTTATTGAAAAGTGGTTATCCAGTTTCCTCACTATTGCTAAATAAACATAACTTTTTTCCAAACAAATTTGATAGACCTACGAATTGCACTAAAGAAGAGAAAAGTTGTGCTCAAAAATGTCACTGTAGTTGGAGACTTTCGTGGTGCTAAAGTTTTCAAAGGAATATTCAGAGGCGTAAAAGTGTAAAGGACTTGTAAAGGACTTTCTTTAATACAAGTTGAAACAATATAAAAGCGTTTTATTTTAATTGGCCAATTTTTCAAACAAACTACAATCATATGCAAACTAACTCCCTTAAAATATTAATATAACACTGATCTGTACAGAAATTTCAATTCTTAATGGAACAACAATTTCGGATACGGAAACGATCAACATTTTGAAACTATGTAAGAATTAGGATTTGTCAGTAATTTATCATAATTCTGAGGTTGATTTGGCATACATTAGACGACTAGAGATTAATTTTCTCTCCCTCAATCTCTAGGTATATTTATTTATCTACCTACCTATTTACATAACCATATATCTATCTAACTCTCTTTTTCCCTGTCTCTCCCTCACTCACTCCTCACACTCAATAAACCTCAGTGGAGTATAATTCGACAGAACGGTAAATTTAAAGAAATGGTAACACTCGCCGAAGATTCCGGTGATGATTATTGATGCTGGCGATCCCTTTGACATGGAGATCTTCAGAATCTACACACACTCACCGCGCGCATACGCACACACGCGTACACCCCCTCTCTCTCTCTCGTCCCTTGTCCCTTTTCCTCTACTCCCTTATTTGTTTTCGTCTACCTGTATTCCCTCTGTCTGTAACTTTGTCTGTTTCTTTATGTCGGTGTGTTTGTCTGTCTTTTCTCTCTTCTGTTTTTCTCCCTCTCTTTCTTCCTGTTGCTCTCTCTCTCTCTCTCACTCTCTCTCTCTCTCTCACTCTCTCTCTCACTGTATCTATCATTCACTCTAACCTTACATTTACTCAATATCTGCCTGTACTTAGGTCTGGACTGTTTTCATAATAATAATTCGCGTCGGTGACCAGTAAAGACGAGAGATGACGCTGTACCTCATTTGTCAGTGTTAAAGAGACAATCTGTCTCTATATTCTTCAACGTTGATCTCCTCATTTAGTCAATATTTTTCTGTTATGTTTTACATTACATGTATATTATTATTATTTGGTAAATTAAGTGCGAATAAATCATATTATCTCTTGAGTGGAGGTTTAGACGGGCATTTTTTCAATACTACTTTAACAGTCTCTCTTATAGTAATTGGATCAGACTTTTAATGCTACGATAAAAATGGTAAAACCGCCCAAAGACTTGCAATTTGTTATTATTATTTTTAAATAGGTTTTTTGTTTATTTAAAATAATTTTTTAATTATTGTTCTGTATGTAAAAAGAATTTGCTATCTTGTTTAAAGAAAGGTATTTTGAATTTTTCTTATTGCAATTCATTCGATTAACATAATGTTATTAAGCTTGTTAAATTTATATTACGCGTTAAAGTAAAATTAAGCTTGTTTCCAAAAGTGTATCTTGTTGATAGGATAATATTTAAAATTAAAACTAAAGTCTTAAAAAATATCTTTTTGCTCTTTTTAATCAATCTTACATCTATTTGGTATGGTGAGACAGTTTTAACATGCTTGCAAACCTATTCCCTATATTTGCAGTTGAAACATATAAAAGCACATGGTGTGACGGTAGCTCGCTCTTTTCATTTGTAAATACGCATAGGATTATTTTAATAAGCTTACGTTTTAAAGTAAATAAATACGGACAGGATACCAAAAACGGGGTTTATTATAGTATTGATACAATGCACACTGAAATAACAATATGTTCGAATTCATCGGTCATAAGTCTCTTTCATTCACGAAAACGCTTGGATAATTTTAATCAATTTAAATTTAAAAATACACAAAAGGTTTTAACAACAATATATTTATTAATAATAATTAAATTATCACATAATTATCAAGCAGTTAACATTTCCCCCGTATTTGGTTGATTATTGATAACAATAAGAAATAAAACGTAACATAGTATAGTTTTTTTTATGTGTGTTTGTGTTATGTCTGTGTTTGACTTTATGTTAATTTATTGGAATGAATGTAATTTATTAGCATGAAAGGAAGGGGTGATTTAACCCCGCCCCGAGGAATATGGAGTACTCTGGGGGAGTGAATGTGACCAGACTTCTGTGTTTCTATCGAGTGTTGTGTTTGTGTTAATTTATTGTAATGAATGATATTTAATAGAGTGAAAGGAAGGAGTTGCTTATAACCCCGCCGCGAGGAATAATGAGTACTCTGGGGTGAGTGTATGTCGTCTGGAGAGTAAAAGTAATTTATTAGCGTGAAAGGAAGGGGTTGCTTATAACCCCACCCTGAGGAATATCGAGTATTCTGGGGGCGTGAATGAGACCAGACACGTATGTTTGTTGTGATGTATATATATGTATTTTATGTTTTCTTTGTATTTTGTGTTTGACAACCTGAGATCTAAACGAGAGACTAGCATTCTAGGATATCAACGTAGTATATATTTGAAATCAGAGAGTCAGTAACCATATCGAGACGCTCAAATGGCTACAGTTTAATACAAAATAGGCGTGAAAGAAGAGAAAAGGAAGGAAAACACACAGAGGGCCGGCGATGAGCTGTTTGTCAGCCCGTACACTTCCCAATTTATTATTATTAAAACATAACACCTATTCCTTTTTTTTGTGGCTGAAATTTCATGTTACTGTAAGTTGATCAACTGCAAATGCGATTTTCCATTTCATCTTTACCGTTCATTTTGGTCTGCCTATCCTCGTTCGTCTGTCAGTTGGTTTCAATACTTCGTCTTCTTCAGTATCTGGTATTGCTAATTTTTTTAACTACTCAAGTCATGTTTTTTTAACTATTAAGGGTCGGAGGGAGTGTCGTTGTTTTTGGTGGATTAAATATGTAGTTTTATTGTTCTGGTCAGTTGTTGTAATCTTTTTTCATCACAGAGAATAGTTAGACCGAAATGATCGATAACGACCAAGTTACATGTACATAATCAAGCAGACAAAGGGTGTGGTTTCACTTTTTTTTTTCACTTTTTCATTTCTTATGCAGTGGTCTTTAAGTCTTACCTGTAGATAAGAAATGCACAAAAAAATGACAAACATAGGCTGTGTAGTTTGTCAAGTTCCCATCACAAAGTAACAATAGATACCTTTTATATTTTTTTCTTTTTCTACCTCCAACTTCATGTACGCTACGGTACTTATTTTAGAAATATTTATAAACAATAAATATTCAGGGTGGAAAAGGGAACTCACAGCACTTTGCTTCTTTTTACATTTTCATTTGATTTTTTCTTTATTTTATTTTTATTTTTATTTTAATTAAATTCACTATTTTTCGTGGTCCGCTTGACCAATTAATAACATTCAATTAATTACGGTTTTTAAGTTGAAATAAAAAGTCAGTGTCATGAGCGGGATTTGAACCCACGACCTTCGGCTTGATACGCCGCTACTCTACCACTTGAGCTATCATGACTTCGATCCCCTCGGGCAGCAACTTCCCATCTCAACCCCACCTTTTGAATTTTCCCTCCTTTTTGCCATTTTTCAAATGTCGTGTAATCGGATTGGATTCTCGGCGACAAATGAGATGGCTACGGAGAGCATTAGTGAAGTGTACTTCATTTTAATCAATTAAATTCACTATTTTTCGTGGTCCGTTTGACGAATTAATAACATTCAATTAATTAAGGTTTTTAAGTTGAGATAAAAAAGTCAGTGTCACGAGCGGGATTCGAACCCACGACCTTCGGCTTGATACGCCGCTACTCTACCACTTGAGCTATCGGGACTTCGATCCCCTCGGGCACCAACTTCGAATCCCGCTCGTGACACTTTCTTATTATCTCAACTTAAAAACCTTAATTAATTGAATTTTAATTAAATTTTTATCGTCCTTATTGAGGTCAGGCGAATGCAAAATGTCTTAAATCGTGTTAAAGAAGCCTTAACTTTACCTCTCTGATAATGAAGTTTTTTAATATCAATTTCTTCAGTTATGCTATTTGGCATTATGTTGTAGTTTATGTAAATAATTACTTCCCAATGAAGGATATAAAACCAGTGCTTATTACTTGGTATTTATGGTGATTGGAATTTGGGGTTAAGGATATGGAGGGAAAGTGTAAATTAATGGACACTTTCATTCATACGAATTTAGGAGACTCACCCTTTTCTCCGTTGTTTCTTTTCCTTTTTCTTCTTAGCGAATGTCAATCCGGCCCGGAGGACCATCATGTACGCTGCGGTACTTATTTTAGAAATATTTACTGCTTATAAATACTTCTAAAATAAGTACCGTAGCGCACATGATGGTCCTCCGGCCGGATTGACATTCGCCAAGAAGAAAAAGGAAAAGAAACAACGGAGAAATGAGAGAGAGAGAGAGAGAGAGAGAGAGAGAGAGAGAGAGAGAGAGAGAGAGAAAGCGATATAACATTAGAAAAAAAAGATTCAGATTAGATGAAAAGGCAGGATGTGCATCACATTGTTTTCCCAATATACCCACTTTTTGTGGCCTTATTATTATGTAACTCGTCAACAAAAATATAAATCCCAGCAGTGAAGCCAAACATATCCCGTGAACTTTTTGCCGGCTTTATCAATTCGAATTACGTCAGAGGAAGTTGGAACGTCTTCTAGTCTCACCGGCGTTTCATCTGTCAAGGCAGAAGATAAGAAAGGATAAGATTAAACAATAGGATTGGTTAAGTGGCACATGGATAAAAATGCTCTCATTAGATAAGCATTTGCCCCCTTCTTCAGCATTTCATTGTCTGAAAGCGGAGGTGTTAAGTTTGTGCTAAGTTCATCCCTTCATGGTCTACTACTTTTCACCCTTGGCTGTAAATAGAGAGTTAAGAGAGTCTTTCAGGAAAGGAAACAAATGGAATTCTCTTTAGGACTTCCTTTATTCACTTCAAATTAAAAAATTCAATTGTTTTATTTGCCTGGTTAAAACTTTTTGTTTGCTTTACCTGGACGTCTTTGAATACGCCTGGATCGAGATGGCCTAGATTGTTGTAGCTCAAATCCAGAAAACTGAGTTTACCAAGTTTGAGAAACAATCTAGGAGATAATTCTTTTAGATGGTTGTTAGAAAGAGTTAATTTCTTCAGCTCAGGGAGATGACAGAAGGTTCCAGAACCCATTGATTCAATCCTGTTGTGGTCAAGGTTCAGCTCGATCAAGTTGGCAAGCCCACGGAAATTGTAATCCAACACCTGTTAACAGATACGTAAAATGAGTCAAGTCTAAATTATTGCATAAGGTTTAAACTTTATAGGTCAAAAGTATCTAATTAATAAATTATGTTGGATTTTGCAAATTACATTTCTACATTTGGTGCCCACATTCACTAAAAATAGAAAAACGACTCTTTTTAAGGATCGGATCAAAACCGCTCACTCGGTGAAATGTATCGGCTTTTTTCAAAGCTCACCGCTCCTGCTCATGCGGTAAACATTGGCGGGTTTTCCGAATTTCGGTGTGCCAGCAACATGACCATTCAAAAATGTTGATTGTCTGAATTACAGGGTTGTTATATCAAAGAAATTACGAACTATTCCATCTTTCTCCTGTTTTTATTGTTGCCAATAATAAATTTCAATTTAAAAAATGTTGAAACAGTTTGCCACTTTGTTCATATAACCATTAGCAACTTATTATTTGGAGATCGTGAGATGCGGTCAAAAGCCCCATCACTGATGTACACACATCATCTTTTGAATTAAATAAAAAAAAGTTCTCGTTAACTTTTCAATTATTTTTTATTTATTTTGCTCAAATTTGCAAGACAAACTAAGCTCTTGATTTTTTAAATCAACCCCTTTTGCGTCAATTGATAATTTTAGCCTGATCCAATTCCAAAATGCCTAATTAATATTTATTGCATTTTTCTTTATTAACTGAAGTTTTCTGCAGTTTTGAAAAAAGGTTTTTAATATAGTTTCATTACCCTTCAAACAAGTATTTGCTGTAGAAATATTTTAAGAATAGCCCTTTGTCCCCTTTTAATTGTTTTTGTCTACTCTACTCCAGGATTGCCACATTCCAGTTATAATTTGAATCTTGAGATACTCGTAATGTGCTAGCATTTAATAAAACTCATTACACCGGGTCATTTATTTCTGTTCCTTTTTCTTCATTCTTTAGTTTGTCGTTTCCCTTTTCTCATTACTGATTTCAATTAATTGAATTAAAATTTCAATAGAGTTTGGTTACTTAGTTCTCCACTTTCCGATGAAGTTGCTCTTATTTAAGCTCATACACAATTGATTTAAACACAATTTAAAAAATATTTATATAGATTCCTTGTAAATATTGTTATAAATATATTTTCTATAAGTAATTATATTTTGAAAAGTTCTTAAGTTGTACTACCTGTGAGATGTTATTATTTGTCAGGGTCAAGCGTTGTAGTTTCTTGACGCCCCAGAACGTGTGCTTCCCGATTGCGGGCAGGTTGGAATGTGTAATTTCCAGCTTTAAAAGATGCTGGAACTCTTGGAATATCGGCCCTATGGTCATGCTGTTTTCATTTTCTTCCGGTGCGGTTATCGTCAGAAACTAAAAAAAAAAAAAAAACGAAAAATTGAGTGAAACGCCTGTTCGAAATGGATGTAAACCGTGGTCTCACCTCGGTCTGGGTGTCAATTTCTTTGACCGGGATGGGACCTGTCATCCCTCCCTTTGTGCATTTGACTGTCTTCTTCGGGGTGTCAAAGCATTTGCAATCTTTTGGACAAAAGGAATAGGAACCTCCCAGCATCAGGCACAGTACCAGAAGTCCGATCCCCATTCTGGAAAAAAAACGAAAATGAAAATATTTTCCAAATGATTTGTGACCTGTATATATATNATATAGCCAAACAAACCTATTGGGAACATTATTATACATGGCCTTTACACAAACACATACTAGAAAAACAAACAGAAGCTGTGTAAAAGGAAATAAGCAATTTCTAACTCTATGAACAAAAATGTCTTCTTTCTCAAAAAATTTTTGAAATTAAAAAAAATAATAAATAAATATTAGCGTTATTAAATTGGTGAAATTCAATTTATAAATTTAAAAACAATATATAAATTCAAATTACGACTTAGAGGGGTCAATTATAATTTCATTAAATTCATTATATTTAGTAGTCTGATTGACCAAATTAATCCTTTTATGTAAAGTCTTGGTTGAAATGAAAAAGCACTTGTATTTTTGAGTTAACTATATATAGTACAATTTAAAAAAATAATCTAATCTTAACTGTGATATTCTAATATACCTGAGGGAAAAAAGTAATTTTATTATTTATTTTAAGAAAAAGAGACGTGTATTTATAGTTATGTGTAACCGAGGTAACGTATAGGACCACGTTTGTGGTTTTAAATAATTTTTAAATTTTTATTTTATATTATATTGTTTTATTGTTTTTAATTAACTCACGCCGTTCATTGTTTTAGATACTGAGCTTCACCTAATTTTAATTATTATTATTACATATGCGGTTTCTTGCTCTCCAGATATATTTAAACAGTCATATAGTTAAAGTAAGATAAATAATTATTTTTGTAATTTTGTTTTTTATAATTTTATAATTGTTTTCTAACTGCGATATTTGGCTAAAATAAATAGGCCCTGATGATGACGATATAATCGTCGAAAGCTTGGCAAAGACTTAAAGAGTATTGTCTTTTCTGTTGTGACCTCACTGAAGATCCTTTTGTTCAAGTTGTTCAACAAGCAGGTCTATACATCATCTCATCTGAAACGAAAAAGTTAGTGTCACGAGCGGGATTCGAACCCACGACCTTAGATATATATTTTTATCGTTTTCTACATTTTTAACTTTGATTATTCGTATAAATTGTACTATGTTTTTATTTTTAAATGAACCGAGAACATAAATTTATAGGTCATTAATTGTGAATTTTTGTAATTGTATCAAATTGACATAAAGCGTCAAAAATCTTTATTAATCCTTATTACCGTACGTCGAATTTAGTAATAATGTATACGCAGAGAAATGAAATTCAAATGAATCTCTCAAAATCAGTTTGAATCAGTTGTCTGAGGGAGGTTGAGGAGGATAAAGCAATCCAATAAGATAGAGAGTGTGATCAATGGTACGGTATTAACTCAGTTACTGAGTCGTTGGAATGCTAACAATTTATGCAAATATCGGTAACAAGATTGTAGAAGCTATCCCTTGATCCTAGGCGGTGATTGGAGGATCCCAAAGACTAATCGAGTCAGACATTAGCTCATGTCATCAACCAAATCGTTACCGCGGTTGGTTTTCTTAACTGCAAAAGATCCTCATATATTAAACTGTGCCCTGTTGTAGTATGAGCAATCTATTTAACAATATTTATATATTATTAATATTTTAATAAATATTACCAACATAAAAAGATTTCAAAAATGATATTATAATTAATTAGGAGGTGTGAATTACTTTTCATACATACAAAGGTTAAAAAAAGTTTGTACGTGTTTTTTCTATAAATCTGTTAATTTATAAAATAAAAAAGTAAAGGCAAGAAGCTAAGTTTTAAGTTCCAGTTGTTAAAAAAATGTTAATAACTATCTTTTTATGTAAGGTTTTGTTTGAAATGAGAAAGTCGGTGTCACGAGCGGGATTCGGACCCACGATCTCCGTGCCGAAGGTCACTTTTTTATCTTAACTAGAAACCTTAATTAATTGAAAGATATTAATTGGTCAAGCGGACCACGAAAACTAGTGAATTTAATGTTAAAATGAAGTATACCTTCACCAAAGCTTAAATTTATTTACTTATTATTATTTATTTAAATGTAAATAAAACAAGTTTTTGAGGTTTCGATTGACCAGTAAAAAAAATCATAGTGATCATTCAATAATAAATATAAATTAAACCGTAATTCACTAGTTTTCGTGGTCCGCGTGACCAATTGATATCTTTCAATTAATTAAGGTTTTTAGTTGAGATAAAAAAGCCGGTGTCACGAGCGGGATTCGAACCCACGACCTTCGGCTAGGTACGCCGCTGCTCTACCACTTGAGCTCGTGACCTCGATCCACTCGGACACTAACTTCCCATCTCAACTCCACCTTTTGATTATTCCCACCATTTTGCCATTTTTCAAATGTCGTGTAATCTATTTGATTCTCGGCGACAAATGAAATGGCCACGGAGAGATTAATTGGTCAAGCGGACCACGAAAACTAGGAATTTAATAAGTTAACATGAAGTATACCTTCACTAAAGCTCTCCTCCGTGGCCATTTTATACTTGACTTAAACTATACACGGTAATAAATAAGATGACATGTTTTCTTTAATAGGTTTTTTTATCAATATTTTTTGTACAAATATTACAAATGAAAATTTATATTTTAAAGTCATTTTTTCCTTTTCTTTTTAATGTTAACCAAATTCAGGAAAATTGTAGTAAAAAAAGGAAGTTTCGCATTAAAAAAAACCTCCCGAAAACGGGCTTAGAATTGGGAGGAAGACCAAGATAATTACAAAGAGGCTGTCACAGGTAAAATTAACCACTTCCGTCCGATCGCGGTGAAAAGGGGTAACAGGATGACCGGGCAGGAGAAGTCTGAAAACAAAAGCATTTTGAAGAAAGAGGCTTTGTCTTTTCTTTGCCTTCTTTTATTTATTAAAAGTCTGAAACATAAAGTTTTCCTTTCTCAACGGGTTGAGGATATAGTTGATTTTAATTAACTGTCACCACGGCAAGATCTATCCGTTTTTTATTTTAAATAAAAACGTTTCTTCATTGTATTTTGAGATAGAAAATGTTTTACACGAGAAAGTTTATAAAAAAGTCAAATAACATTTATAAATAATTTAAATAATTTCGTTTGTTCTTATGTCGTTTTATTCGTACTTTTTAATTCTTAGTTTAAAAGTGCTTTATTAAGCGGAACTTACACGATACATCCGGAGGTGCAATACAAAGTAGGCAGGAAGTTAGGAAGCTGTAATCTTAATCAAATTCCTCAATGTATAGTTTACTCTTTTTGTTAATTTTCCATAACATAGTTGCTCGTTACCCCCGTATGGGGTACTTGTAATACACTTAAAATAATAATAATAATGTGTGGTATTTAGTGCCCGTTAGTTAATGATTATTTGGAGATCTTGATATGGGGTGTGGTGTGGTGTATTTTTTATAAAAATATTTTCTTTATCTTGCCAACGTTTCGATCTTTATTGAGATCATCTTCAGGGCTCAAAGTGTTTGTTTTCTGTGTAGATGTGTTATTCTTGTGGGTCGTGTTGAGAGTGGGCACACAAGAATGACACATCTACACAGAAAACAAACACTCTGAGCCCTGAAGATGATCTCAATAAAGATCGAAACGTTGACACGATAAAGAAAACGGTTTCTAAAAACTACACCAGACCGCATCTCACGCTCTCCAAATAATCAATAATAATGAGGAGGTATATAAGAATTGTGATAGAGCAATAATTAAAAAAAATTGTTTTATAATAGAAATTAAATGTATAATTTCAATGTTTTAATTTTTTTAAGTCGAAAACTTCTTTTAAACGGTGTTTTAGGAAAGTTTATTCTCTTCAAAACTATTTACTCCGATTTCCTTTATGATTGTGATGAAGAATATGTAAATGACTTCAAAGTTTCTATCAGCGTTTAATTTTCGTAGTTCACCGTGCCCATGACAAATTCTCATTCATATTAATGATACAAAATACCGGCGGGACGTAAACTTCCCAAATCCGCGAGTCGAGCGAAGTGGAAAGGGAAATTTTCGTTAACGCACATTGGGAAAGAGGGAAAAGTGGGCCAGGGAAAACAAGCGAAGTTGGCGGACTCGTCGGAAGGAAGACCTCGGTGCAAAAATCTCTCGAATCGCTTTTCTATGCTAATGCTTAGTCATTAACGCAGATGGGCCGGGTTTGAAGCCGGCTTCGAAAACATTACCATCACAACACTTCGAGACATATATACTCGATACACATTTCATACGGCGATGTTTTGCTTTAACCAATAAATTCTGGGTTTTCTTCTCCAGTGAAAATTATGTGGGCCCCCGTAAGGTGCATCCTTTTGGGCCGCTTTAACTACATCGTTACATATTATCAGCGATAAAATCGTTAACGACCCGATCATTTATACGAACTTAACCATTACGCCGTACTGAATCGTTTAGCGATTTTACATCCGATCGATTCTTCAAACACATTTCGCTGAATCATTTGCAAAATGGTTACAACCATACGAAAATTTATAGCGATGTGGTTAATGATATGCATTTGTTTGCTGATTTTTGTCACCGAGTGCTACAAAGTAGAATTCAAGAGAGAGACACAAGTATCAAAATGAGGAACAAATAAATGTGTAAACATGTGTGTTTGTTTTACTGTGATGGATATTTACATTACAAACATAAACTTTTATTTATGTTTTTGTAGTAAATTTAAACTGGCTATTCTTTTAGTAAAAAACTAATTAATCAGTAGTAAACATTGTATTATTATGTTTATTTAAATGTACAAAAAATACATTAGACAAAATCTTTATTACCATTAGTGATACAAAAATTCATAAATCAAGAAAAAACTGTGCCAACTATTTTCTAAAATAGCTTAAATTTTTTGAACAAAGTACAACATTGAGATAGCAGAAAGTAATCAAATATATATATTTTAGATTTAAATAGGGGTAACGGTTTAGGCGTTGACACGACGCTCATCACTGTAAGGTAAAGGTCCCGGGTTCGAATCCAGCGGCCCTGCATTCGAACCCGACATATTTACAGATGGGTTTTTCTTTGACCTTTTGA